TTTTAAAATATACAAGATAAAAATGATTTTTTTTGCTATGGATTTATCGTAGATTATTATTACCACTGTAGAAACAATAAAAATAAAAATAAAAACTCTGCACAGCGCTGAGTGTGAAAAAAAAAACTCAGCGCGGAGTGAACACTCCGCTCTCCACTCCGAACTCCGCATTGCTCGGAAGAAGGAAAAAAAAATTCTCTGCGAACACTCCGCTCTCCGCTCCGCACACTCTGCACTACACACAGTGCAGAGTGTGAAAAGAAAAAAAAATAAATTCTCCACACGAAGTGTAGTGTCCGCGCGCTACCAAAACCTTTGGTTCTCCTACTCTCTAGAAAAGAAAGCCCCTGATTAACCCTAATTTCTCTTATTCTCTCTCGATTGTTGAAAGAAATCCAAAACAAATTTGCAGGAATTGAGACATATATCTGTAAGTATAATTTTTTCCCATTTTTTGAGTTGTAGCGCAAGAACGGTAGCTTCAGCTTCGGGATTTATAGGGGTAGGTGGTAGTCGATCCGTGGGTGGTGGAGATTGACAGAGGTCGCGACGAAGGGAGCTATGGTACGTGTTTTGGTGAGGGTGAAGATGGTAGTATGTTGGGCCGGGTTCGGTAGGAAACTTTTCATATTTTCAGTTGAAATAAACCCCTCCACTGTCCAATCATTTTCAATCACGACCCAGTTTCGGAAAACCCCAATCGTGTGTATTATTTATGTTGTTCTTTTGTAAATGGTGATGAAATATATTTGAACCTTGATTTCATCATATCTGGGGTAGAAGCAAGCGGTGATAATATTGAGGTATTTCCATAGCCGAAATCTTTGCCGGTAGCTCTAGAGTAGTGACTGGAGGGCGTAAGTTGTGGGAAAGCACTCATGTGCTAAAGAGTTATTTAGAAAACGGCTATGGGGCGGGACCTTTGGTGAAGTATATAAAAGCAATGTCATTTTCTTGAACTAATTAGTTCATTTTCCACCAATTGCAAAGTGTACGTTGTTTAATTTTACTAATTAGTTCATTTGCCTATCTACTTGTATGTTTTGGATCCACTTTGGCGATCATTCGTCATCTATATACCTGAACATAAGTCCTGGCATTAAAAGAACTCACATTAGGTAGCAATTGCGAAGTGTATACTGTTTTGTTGTACTAATTAGTTAATTGAGCTATTTGTATCTATGTTTTCGATCTGCCATGTTGTTCATTCGTCAATGGCATGAATATTAATAATCCTGGCGTTAAAAAGAACACAAGCTTCAATTCAACATAATCCGTCCATTCTTCTTCAAATGGATTATTTTTCCACTTGTATGAAATTTTAGGTTAGGTTTCACAACTTTGATACAAAGATTGTCTGAGTACTAACACGACATGATTATATGATATCAGACATTTAGGATTATGACATTTATTGATTCTAAATTCCATGATGGTTGGTTTCATTGTTAATATTGATATTTTATTTGTATTTGAGCTATCAAGACAGCTCTATGTTTGGTGCTCCTAAGAAGTTTAGAAATTTCCCCCCTGGAACTTTACTAGGTTTAGCTTAATATGCTTATTTCTCTTTTCCATGAGCTTCCAAACTCTTATTTTGTAGCAGGAATCTCTGCAGCATCAGTAGCAACAACTGATGCAAGTTGTCAGTCTGCATCGACCACCTATCGGCATACTCTCAAAGATGTTAACAATCTTGTAGGGTACTTATTCAAATCTGATCATTCTTTATTGTGTTAATTTTCATATAATTACATAACTTAAAATGTTGAAATCTTACATGGTCAACATTGACATTTCATTAATATAAGTCTATGCTTTTGGCTGACCCCTCTTGGTTGCGAAGGAGACTTCCTCAGAATTCCTATCGAAGGCCACAAGTACTACCGTCTATTGGGTCCAGATGCCTGGGATGAAGGTTTGTTGTGTGTTGTCTAAATTCATTTGCTAATTGAATCATTTTCATGTTTCCCATTAATTATACAGTTTCCAATTATAAGATTAAATTGAATAGCACATGCGAATTTTTATTCCTATTGTTAGCCTGGTCCGAATTCAGTTGGAATCTTTGCCATTTCTCAAAGTTGCGGTGGAGTGGGAGCTCGAGTCTGTAGTCTTGTTAGTTTAGAACCTGCAAATGTAAGATCTCGTAGTTCTATTACTTTTTCCTTTTGGTCCTTATTCTAGGTTTTTATTTATCCATGGATATCTGATCCTATCGTGCGGTATATTGTGGTTGGCTGTTTCAAAATTCAACTCATACATATTTTTCTTTAAATTTTGTAGATTGCATAGATCCTTAAAAAGATTTTTCTTCTTCTTAGTTGTGAGACTGTCGGAGCCTTGAAGTTTTCACTATATTTTTTGTAAAAAGTGGAGGAACAAAAATTGTTTTAGCCATTCCATAATATGTGTATTGTTGATTTTTGCAGGTTTTGTGCTGTGAAATTCACCTGTTAGCTGAAAAAGTAAACTTTAATGTTTTCAGAACATAAATCTCAAAGACCTTACTTCTTTTGATAATTTTTATCCTGATCTGCATCTTATTTTTCTTGTTCATTTTCTGCCGCTTTTATGCTACAAAGTCTATTGGCTCTGTCAAGAGATGATTTATTGTTTTTTTTTTTTTTTAACATAAAACATATAAATCCAACTTCGTGTGATCAAGGGCGGAGGCAGGGGGGTCCTGGGGAGACCGGACCCCCCCAATTTTTTGACAAATTTTTTATTTTTATTTTCTTGAAGCATTCGTACAGATATTTTAGTAAACTGATATTTATGACGAAGAAAAGAAAGAGATATGAGATGTTTGTTTGTTGGCTTGTTCGAGTTTAACATGTCAAATGTGTCATTTGAGTATATT